GATGAAGATGGATGGATGGATGGATGGACACCAAAGTATCGAACCGAACCGAACCGTGAATTTTGTGTATCGTTGCACCCCTAATATATATATGCGATATATATATGCACTAAAATTTCAGTAACACTAAAGACACTACATTACAGAGCATCTTAGGGATGGTAAGTTGATATAAGATCATTTTTTACTATAACTAAATGAAAATGTATACGTTTAAATTGCTGGTTAGATGATCTCTGTGGGAGCAAGAACACATTTGCATCAGTGGACAAACACAATTCCTGCAGGAGCTTAAGAGTCAATTTATTAGGAGCTTCGACACAGCAATGAGATTGTTTAAGGTTTCAGAGAATAATATGTGCAATCAGGTGGGCGGATTGATTTTTAAAGGTTATCCATCAGTTGAGTAAATAAAAATCTTATGCTTAATTGACCTGCCTGGGTAAATTAGGTTAACTGGCAATAAATTGGCAGTGCCCCTGGTAATGAAGTCAAACAAGGCCCCCTTCGCTCTAATTCTCAGGGCTGGAGGTCAATTAAATTCCAACTGAATTTAGTTAGTATGTAGATATAAAGTCCATTACCTGATGACAGAGTACTTTCATTCATTTCACCTAAAGCTGAACATTACCACTGAAGAAATAACAAACAGTCTTGCTTGTGACATCAATTCTGTGTTCATTTTTACTTATTAACTGAAGAAATCAATTTCACTGCTGAACTATTGGCGAAAGATGATATGACACATTCACAGCCACTTAAAGTTAACAGCAAGGTGAGCAGCCAGTGAATCATTTCTTTCATTGTATTCCTTACTGCTTGTATTAACATAATTGTTTGGGGTCATTTAATGACATAATATGCCACTGCCTTGTCTAGTATTGTAGAAGAAAGCTTCAACAATATTAAGATAATTTGTCTGAGACTAATTAAAGACCTTAATGAATTAGTCCTAACAATGGCGTATGGAAAACAGACTTTAATCGCAGGTTAACGGTAAAAAAATAAAATAAAATCAAAGAGTAAGAAATGCACCTGCCCCAATCTGCTAATTTCTTCTTGACAAAAATGCCAAATAACATTTCTATTAACAGCTCATCTTCTGTTGTACCTCTTCTAATCAAGGAAAAATCTACTTCACAAAGAATGAGTGTTAAAAAAACGAGTAATGTTCTTGCCACTTATGCAACCTCCTGCAATGAGTGCCCTTTTCATGCCTAAAGCAAGTATGCATGTGGACCGACTTCTATAGACGTGTTTGGAAACATAATCATGTTTCAATAAACTGCAACATATCTATCTCTTTAAAAATGGTCTCTTCACGTTGGCTTCTGACATTCAAAGTGTACCTGAGAGGAGATGAGGTAGAGGAACTCTGCGAGTGGTGGCAGCAGGAGCCGCTTTATTTTACTGTTCCTTAGATTTTCCCTCAGCAGGTCTGTTAGTGTGGACACAGCCTGCAAAGAGCATGACAAACACTTTCAATAGTACTTCTATTTTCAATTGAAGTTCAATCACATGAAAATTAAAAAAAATAATAATAATAATAATAATTAAAAAAAATGATACTATCTGCACAATAAAATTACAATTCATTGTACATTTATATATTTCCCTAGGGCTGGACATATTCTATTTTTTTAATACAAGCCAGGGGCATCTGTATTACCCAGAGACATCACCAGAAGCTTGGCAATGCTCTGCTAGCACATAAAAATTTCAACTTCAAAACTCTTATATTCTAACATTATTTTTAAGTTGAGGTAGCAAATACAAAAAGCTTAGCTAAAACCAAATATCTAATTCATGAATGCAATCAACTAAAAATCTTAAGGAAAAACAGGAAAATTGATTTTGTCAAAGTCACTAAGGCCACTGTGTACAGAGATCATAATTTCAAAGCCTGCAAAGCTGTCCCACTGTGTAGGATTATAGTCCAAATCTACCAGGAGCTGCCAGTGTTGTAGTCAACAAAAACCTGGTCTACAACTTTTGAGGAACGAAGACATGCATATTATTTAGAATTTGATGACTAAAACGGCAACAATGTCATGCTAACCTGAAAAACATTTAACAACTGTTTGTTTTAGTAAAGCTGAACAATTATCCACTGATGTTCTTTGAAAGAACATGCAAATGCAATATTGTCACCACTTCTATGAGGTTAACACAAAGCCAGTAGTGAAAGGCTGCAGGACCCAGAGTGATGCTCAGGTTGGATCTTCCCAAACAAATCCACCAGTCAAAGCTTGACTTTGAGAAACAATGAGTGATGAGGTCAACAGGTTTACAGCACTGATGTTGGTTTCTACAGTAGGGACACTGCTCTCACATCAAATACTCCTTGGGCAATAAACTGTTGTATAAGTTGTATAATGCAAAAAACAAACAAACAAACAAACAAACAGCAAAAATGTGTAACAAAATACTTTGTGTATGGAGTTAAAATATAATATTATGGTTTACCTTTTAAGTAAGGACAAGATTATTAGCTGCTGGAATAAGACATAATTGGTTTATCTATAGCCCTGTGAAAGGCTGGAAACATGTCCAGGGTGTATTTCATGACTTAGAGGATGGAAATGCTCAAGGCCTTCTATTCATCCAGTTCAGGGGGGCAGAGATAAGAAAACAAAAGCATGGATGGGATATACATTAAATACAAAAAAAAAATCCCATTGAACTCAGATGTAAACACACATACAGACTTAATTATATGCAAACACAGCCTTTCTGGCTGGCTGCTTCCTGACATTAGCATTACTGCCAGCTTTCCCCCTCTGTGATCTGATGCAAGTTCTGCCTCATTCCTCTTTTGTTCCTGCTTTCTTCTTTATTTTTTCCATTGTTTCCATTCTCTCCCAGTTTTGTATAGTTTCTGTATTGTTGAACACATTTTCTCCTTCTCTTCCATTTTAAATTTGCCTGCTGTGATTCTATTACAGCTCTCTCACCAATCCTGTCTGTTAGCTATGTTGTTCTGTCTGTCCATTTTAGGGTGAGGAGGTGTGACAGATATTCATGTTCTCTCCCACAGAAAGTTTTTCTACAGTTACACTCAAGCGATTATATTTTGCCATTAGTGGTTTGATCTCACTGAGGGAGTGAGAGAGACTCTCACTCCCTCAGTGAGATCAAACCACTAACAATTTCTAAATGGAAAAGGTTGGGAATTAATATGCTGGGGTGTGTTAGAAACTGGTCAAGCAGCTGCACTCAGGGAGAGGGGAGAGGTAGAGAAAAAAAAAGCCTACATGAAGACATATAAAAAATAATTCCCAGAGAACACCTTACAATTATCTCAGCATCAGCACTTCAGGTGAAAACTATGCACATCAATGCACACAAGGAAATACAAACCCATGCACTTGATTAACACACATAAACAACAACGCAGACACACACACACACACACACAATAAACAGTGCAATGACTAGTTACTGCGGTGGACTATTAGCCTTATAGAAGACTGAAGACTCAACCAGAATTAATAGGTAATACAAGCCCATAAAGCGGTGACCGAGGAGACTGACTTATAAATCAGTACACCAGGATTTCAATCCCAGCTGTCATAGCGTGAAAGGCGGGGGCGCACCTGGATAGGTTGTCAGTTTGTTGCACGGCTAAATTCAGATTAATGGATCACATATCTTATACTAACAATGTCAGGCACAGATTATCACAGCATCTAAAAACACATTCACCAAATATCTCTAGGAAACAAGACTTTTTACAAAGGATATTTAGAAATCCAGAAATGTCTTTGTTGAGCCATTACCCTCTGAATATGTCTTCTTAAGGATTGCTGTGAGCTTTTAAAATTCATTGCTTTCCTATAACCCTTCACAGTTCAAGCTTTTGTGGCAAAACTCCCAGAAAAGCTGGTGAAGATCATGTGTAGTGGATTTTGAAAGCACAGCTTCTCTATCTCACATTAAGAAAGCAAGAAACATGCATTAGCAACATTAAAACAAAACATTTATTTTTCATTTACTTCTATTTGACAGCTGAAGGACAATGACAGACTCACTATAGAAAGACAAAAGAGAAACAAACAGGACAGGAAGAAAGAACAGTGAGACAGGAAGAGAGACAGACGAGTGTGTCTATTGAAGAGTAATGAAAGCATATAGCAGCTACCATGGTAACTAAGCCCAGCCCCAAAACTCTGATTAGCAGAATATCAGTGAGAGGACCCCTGCTGAGACAACACACACACACACACACACACACACACACACACACACCAGAGAAAAATACTCTTTTATTGGTCATCTGTTAGCATCACTATAACATAAGGACAAACACAAACACAGATGCACCAAAAGAAGGAGAGAAAAAACAAACAAACACCCCCCCCACACACACACACACACACACAATGTCATAAAGGAGACCCCTGCTGAGTCCTCGCATAAACATGGTTTAAAAAAAAAAAAGCACACTTGCAGAAGCACACAAAACACCTCTGCTGCGTCTATAGATGGACACACGACTACGGACACAAAGATGCTGCGAAAAACTGCGATGCCAAAGTCGTCCATTTTGTATATTGCTGTGATGACTCAGTAAATGGTAAATGGACTGGTTCTTATATAGTGCTTTTCTACTCTTCTGAGCACTCAAAGCACTTTACACAACATGTGGATTCACCCATTCAAACAAGCACATTTTCTTAGTGCTTTCTAACTAACATTCACACACACATTCATACTCCGAGGGATGCATCGGACAGCAATTTGGGGTTAGTATCTTGACAAAGAGGCATGCAGACTAGGGGAAGCCAGGAATCAAACCACCAGTAACAGTAGATGATCAGTAGATGACCTGCTCTACTGCCTGAGCTACAGCCATCCCAGTAGCAGCAAAGAGCCAGAAGACAACTGGTGTGGTATGAAACAGTTCTCTGGCGTAAGATGTCGACAGTAAACCATGGTAAATAAGAATAAGCCCTGGGCATCACTGACAAATAGCACATAGCTAGATCTCTGTGCCATTTATACACCCCCAGTAGATTCTACTTTGATGAAGCCATTTTTTAAACTCCATCAAGAGTCTGCCAGTGTCCAGGACTCAAAAAAATGATGCCTGATATGATGAAACTACAAATCAGAAACTACTTGTTTTGTAAGTCTCACCGGTAATGTGTCTCTCCTTTCTGCTTGTACATAGTTAACAGAAAGTTCAGAGGGGACTCTTTAGAGAAATGACTCAACAAGGGAAACCGATAAACTGCAATGCTTATGATGGGCCCTAGACAGTGATGACAAATCTGCAAAGGCTTTAAAGTTACATTATCTGACAAATCACATATCAGTATATAGTAAAAAACAGACAAACAAAAACAAGACAATCAATACATTCCTGCTAATATGGCCACTGGTAATATCAATATTTTATCATAAGGTTAATTTCTCTCATTTGTGACACTAAACATGACCATGTAAGTACCATGGCATCTATGTCAGCATGTGCACAGGCACATTCATAAAAAAGGTCACTAAATGTTGTTTATGGATGACCCATGAGAAATTAAAATCTTCCACCTAAACCACTGTACTATTGAACATATATATGCTCATTTCACTTTGACAAACCAAACCTTTTAAATTGATGAAAAGTGATTGTCATGGCTGAAAATTAAGTATTTATTTTTTAGAATCAATGTGCTGATTCCAGTCTCTTAGTGACTAGAGGGAAGTCTGTTTTGGTATGAGCATTACAGCATCAGGGAGTTTCAACGTGGCAGTAAATACACTAAAAGAAAAAAGCTCAAGCTGTAAATGCAATTAAAAGCAAATTTGATTCCTCATTTGAGTTCCAAATTTCAGCAAAAGTGTTAACCAGTCAATTTTTGTTGTAAGATAGTACAGTAAAGGCTCCACTGAGTCACCACAGTAATTATGAGAAAAAACTGAATTGTTTACATGTATAGTCCTGCAGATGCACTTTACTGCACATGTACACAGAAAAACAGCCACAAATGGATGCAGAGCAGAATGAGGCAGACATCCGTTGAAAATTTAAATTAAAAATTGAACACTCAAATGTATTAATCACCTCAAATCTAGCCCTCAGACACCCTCTAGTCCAAAGCCCTCCAAAACTAAAAGATGAGCCCAGAAAAGAGTCCCTTGTGTGAGCTGGGGCTGAGATTAACCGCTCCCTCTCAGACATTTTCTGGCTATTATCACAACAACACTACTTTCCAAGCACCAATCAGTTCCCCAAATTATGTCAAGAAACCATTTTCAAACATTAGAAAGAAAAGAAAAAAAGTCGAAGTAGAGCTGGCCAATTTCAAAAGAAATTATAGCAGAATATCTACTCCAGGGTTAGAAGCACACCAATAACAATCTTAACTAAGTACATTAGTGGTCACTCTTTGCGTAGAGTGGAGTTGAGTGGGCAGAGATACACGTCCTCCTACAATTTCTAATGTTTAATGAAACAGCAATGTTTACAGTAACAACTTCAACTCTTTATATTATATATACACTCCTTTGGCAAGGAGCGAGGCACACCCAAGGGTCCCTGAATGACCAAAACACACACATTACATGGATTCATCCAGACACAAACACAGACACACGAAAATTATATATCATAGACTGATACATAACAGTTATATATCAATCTTTATATTTGATTAAATAAATTGTATAAATATTTATACCACTATTATTGTGTACACTCAAATTACTTTGGCAATATTTTTTTCAGAAGCACCGTGCCAGTATAGCCACTCTGAATTTAACTGAACTGATGAGAGCAAAAGTGAGAGAGAGAGAGAGAGAGAGAGAGAGAGAGAGCAGAAGCAAGAGAGCACAAGATATCTCTAAAGTTCCTATTTACTGTACACAGGCTATGGTTGTCTTGTAGCTTTTTAACGCCGCCAGCTGGTAAATACTGGTATTATAAAGTATTTCTACATCTTGTTTCAGGACAGTTTTTTTCCTCCTTCCTCAGCTAAAAGCTTTGATTATTGTTGGCATGCCTCTAAACAAAAGTACTAATTATGGCCACATGCACAATAAAATTAAGCAAGACATGCTAAATCAACCTTTATGTATTTTGTTGTGGATAAATTAAAATTTTTATCAATTTTATCAATAAATGTGCTCTTTCTGGTATTTACTGCCACATCGTGGTGTAAATTTGTACTGCAGGTCTGAGGATCATGAAACATTCTGAAGAAAACAGGACTTCTCAATTTTTTTGTTACTGAGCATATTAAATAACTTGTCTGAAATAAAATGACTGTTTTGCTCTTTCTATAGTTGCTAGTGTTACACTTTTATTTCTAATACATAATAAATAAAATTCCATAAATAAAATATCTATATAATTGCATTGATAATGTCTTGGGGTTTTAAATCTGTGTTGGCACACCTACACAATTGTGACAATTAGCTAGGAGCCCTAGTATAAATTTTATACTAACATTTGAAAATTGTGTTAGGTTAAGGTTAAAAAAAAAATGAGCAAATGAGCAGTAGCTGTTCTCCCTAAGTAAATAAATAAATGAATACATGGAAATAAAAAAAAAATCTAAAGTAAATAAGTGTAACTCTATTTAATATATGTGTATATTCCTGACCTCAGAAACAGGACTGTCCAATCCAAGGTCACTACAGTGCAGAGCCAGTAGTCCCATCACTCTGAGAACCTTGCTCCGTCTGCAAAGCATTTTTCATTTTTATTTATTATGTTAATTGTGAATTTTCAGCTTGGATATCAACTCAAGATTTTCTAAAAACATTTTCAGTTACTGATTTTATAAAACTGGTCATGGTGTTTAAGTTTTCCAGTATCCAGAAAATGTATAAACATCAAATTTCTTAGAGCATGCTTAACCACTCTAGATATAATCATAGGAACTGCAGTTCATAAAACAATGTTAAAAAAAGCAATTGGGAGAGGATGTAGAATCGTGCTTCTTTTAATTATTCAGTAGCTTTTCTTTAATCATAGTGTTTTGCCACATCAGAAATTAGCACTTTAAAAAAAGCAATGTTACAGTGTCCCCTGTTTACAGAACAAACATACATTGTGTACTTACATGTCCCAGTTAGGAGCTTGTCGCAACAGGTGGACCAAAACTAGAAGCTGAATGAAGGATTGAGGAAATTAGAGTGACAGAAAGAAGGAAAAGGATAGCAAACAATGTAAATATGTAGAAAATGATGATATATTGCCACAAAGCATGGAATCTAAGTTCACTGTGACTTCAAAAAGGATTGTTAATGAGAGTGTTTGGTGTTTTAGTAAAAAGAAATTAACTTTTTTCAAATTCTAATTGTTGAGTGGAAAAGATGAGCCGTATAAAAAACAATTATCATTACTTTATTTAATTACAGATAGAAAAAGTATGGTTATATCAGTAATAATACCATAAATAAAAAACATTCTAAATATAATTTTCCTGTGCTTTTGTTAATCTTAATCTTACATTTTTTCCAGGAACTCTGTGCCCAAAATCAGATTGAAAGAGGTATCTTTTTTTGAGCCCTGAATAATTCTATGAAACTGCATCCTTGTGCGGTACTAATGACTCCCACTTGACTAATGACTAGCTGGGAGCAAAAGCATGACCCACACACCTACATCCTCTTACTGAAGTTCTCTGTTGACAGGGCAAACAAACAGACAAAAAAAAGACAGCACAAGGTCAGTAGAAAATGAACAAACTGGAAAACAATAGCTCATTATAAATATTCAATTGTAGACATGCCAGTGGAAAGATTTCCAACTATAATCTTCCTCAGCTAACACTAAGGATCCCTTGCTGTCATGTAGGGTTGAGATATTAAATACATTCTATTAAGCTGCACAGTTATGCAACTGTTCTCAAGAAACCCAGCAGATCATATTTCAACAGGAGTCTAAAACAAATATATGTTTTCCTACCAGTCTTGAGTTAATCAGCCTGTTAGCGATAACTGTATGTCCAACCACACAGCAGAGGTAGCACAGGAGGTTGAGTTTTGATCGAGTGGCTGTGGAAGTGGAGTGGCTCTGTTCTTCAATGGATGAACAAAGCTGTGATAGAAAGACAGTCCACTCTTCATCACTCAGAGACTGTAGCTTCTCACCTGCAGGAAAATAGAGAGGATTCAAGATAAAAACAGGGACAATACACTGAGATACTTTTTTGCTTTTTTTTCAGGACACTAAACTGACTTTGTGCCAGCTCAAAAAACGTACCTGAATATGCAGGTACACATAGGGTTTTAGGATCATATCGCACAGGAGTGTTCTTTAAAATCTGTTAAAGAGAGCTCAAAATAGTCAATTGTAGCCATTTTTTCTACATTGCTAGTAAAGGTTTGTTAATAAATGTCTTATTCTTATGTAATGTAAGAAGGTGCAAGAAAGTTTCCCACTAAGAAGACTTAAAGACTAACAGAGGTTCGACAGATGTATTTTAATGAATTAAAAAAAGAAATATGAAACAGCCATCATATCATATAATTACACGCCTTTACCTTGGGGTTGTCGAGGACTGGGGTGACAGTGAGATCAAATTCAGTGTGGAGAAGATCCTTCACACAGGGTGTAGTGTCAGTACAGTTACTGGTAGTGAGAGTAACCTGAGGTGCAATGTTCTGATTTGGACAGTCAGATGAACTGCAGTTTCTGATTGAGTTGGCACGGGAGCTACAAGAACAGGAAGAGAAGAGTATGGAGAGCAATGTATAGTTTACTATAAACATCTGAGTACCACTCGTTCTAGGTGTGTTCCTACTGTAAGAGTAAGTCCAAAGCTTACATATCACTTTTGAGACACGAGATTCACATTCTTCCTCTGGAATAATTTATCTGTAAACCTGTGCACTGAAAACAGGAACAAAACTCTGTAAGGGAAACTAGGAAAGAGTGAGAACAGAATACCTGAGCAGAAAAATGGCCTCAGTGCTGTCCTCATCCAAACCACTCTTTGGCTTCAGGTCTGAAACATTATCTGGAGATAAGTAAGCACGTGTGTACTTAAAGACACATATATCTGTGGTATGGTGAAAGATGAACCTTACATCATAATAAGCAGAAATCAGATCTGCACAATAGAAACTACTAGTATAATGTAGACCTACAACAAACCAAAACCAAACACAAACAAATTCGAATATGTTACCTAGTGTGAATGACTTATTGGGCTGCAGTGTGCGGCACATCTGCAGACTCCCAGTTAACTTAGAGTCATCGTCAGGTTCTCCTTCTCTTCTTCTCTCCCTTCCAACTTCACTATTCAGGGTCTGGCTTTGGCTCAAGGCTCCAGAGGATGTGTGGTTGACAGAATTTTGGCTGTCAGTCCTTCTGTCACATGGCCTGTCAGTTGTTGTAAGAGATGATATTAGTTTCTCAGACATCCCATAAGCTAGCTGACTGAGGGCTAAGTAGCTGTTGGCAAGGCTCACTGCTTGCCACGGATGGAAAAGGTCACATGTGTTTGTGTGTCTGTGGAGGTAGTGAGAACTAAAAAGACTTCATGTTCATTTTCTTCTTTTTAAGGTCTGAGCACTGGCTGAAGTTACCCTTTCTAACGTGTAGCAGAGAAAAAGTAAACGGAAAAAGTATTTTCGAAAAAGTATTACTACTCGTTTTACTTGGTCAGTTGGTGTAAGTGAAAGTGCTGCCTGCAGAAAGCAGGACACATGAAGTCTACTCATGAATGCACCCAGCTATTATCTGCACTATTCTTGAATGGATCCAGTCAGATATTGCAGGCAAAAAAAGAAAATTTAATGATCAATTCAACTTAATCCAACATCGGTGTTCTTGTATGTAGCTCCATCTGATAATGCCAAGAAAAGGTCTATGCTGAAGCACATGAGTGAAAATGGCGATACAGAACCCTTTCTGCAAGCTGTTTCTTTATTAGCTAAATTCTCTGATATCAACCTTTGTCAAACACGATTCACATCCCCACTGACAGCCAAAAATAACAAGGAAAATAAATGCTGGTAAATATGTTGGACTTTTAAAAGGTTAAAAAAATAACCTACCTCAAACTACAAGAAACAACCTCCTTGCAAACATTTTCTGCCTCTTCATTTTCTTCATTCTTCTCTTCACCTTCTTCTGCATCCTCTTCCTCCTTTATAATCTGTGTCCAGAAAGGGTGAGCCAGCAGTTGTGGCCAGTTCATCCTAAAGATACATCAAAAAATTAAATGCATTATGAGTAACACTTTACAATACAACCAGGAAGTACAGCAACTCCCCTGTAAATGGAACTTTAATTATTTTATTTGAAATTACATTGTAATTACATTTACCTACAAGTAATCTCCCAAGAATAAGGGGTTAATAAGTCAGGTTTTTATAAAAAGAAAAAGAAAAAAAAGGACATAATTAAACTGTAGGTAAATTTAAGCTTGTATAAAAAATTTTAAGTAGTGCCTAAATTCCTGGTATTATACTGTATGTATTATACTGTATTTTAAATACTGCATAAGTATTTTTAAGTACTGTGTAATTTCTTGGTAATTTTGTAGAAAATCAAACTACACTAAACTACAAGTCAGACTTGGCTCCATTACACAGGCCTGTAATTTAGAAAGGGAGTCCTTCTTGCAATGCATTGGCAAAATAAAAGGACAGTTAAATAACAGAACATCCATCATGCAAGCACTCAGAAGCTTCAGTTAATGTCATTAGAATTGGGAAAAATATGATCAGGCCGTATTTCCAACCATGATTCTGGCATTACTGTTGATGCCACACGAGTTGGTTTGGGTATTTCTATAATTACTGATCTCACTGCAGTCTGCACACCTCTGTCGAACTGGAGTGAGAAACAAAAATACCCCTTGAGAAATACCTTGATAATTACAAAAATCTCGGGAGAATGGCCAGAGTGTGCTGACCTGACATTAAAGCCGAAAAGAGCTCTGATAACCACTCTGGGGTGAGCAGAAGAGCATCCAAAACATTTACAACTTCCAGGCAGATGGGCTACAACAAAACAGGACCATGTGTGTTCTCTCCTATCAGCCAAGATCAGAAATTTGAAGCAGCAATGGGAACAGACTCACAAAAACTGGACAACCCAATACTGGAAAAATTAATGATTATGAATAATGAATTTTAATTTCTGCTAAGGCACACAGATGGCAAGGTCAGACTTTGGCATAACTAGCATGACTCCATGAACCCAGACTGCTTTGTGTCAGTTCAGACAGGTGGTGTAGTGGTGTGGTGATTTTTTGTTTTCAGCACACTGAGCATTCATTCATTCATACTGATCATTCATTTATTAAATCCCACTGTCTGTCCAATGCTGCTGAACATGTGCATCAATTTATAGAAGCATTTGAGCATCCAGATGATGAAACTATAGCAACGGTATCAGAATTGTAAGTGTTTGTTGTGTGTGTATGAGCTTAACCTCCTCTCGGGGTTTTTGTTGAGCAACCCTTTCAGAAGACTCTGGAAATCCTGGCAGGGAGGACCTGCAGAAACCACTGTACAAAGAAGACAATTAACCAAACAAACAACAACAAGAACAAAATCAACAATTATCTGTTAAAACTGTTTATTTCTAAATATCAAACACTATATGAAATGTGACATCTTTGTGTGCGAGTCTGTGTCTGTATATAATGATGTGGGTGTGCGAGGAAGTGTTTGTCACCTGTCTGCCTGGGAGGTGGTGGTTCCTTATTCAAGATCATCTCTCTCAATTCAGTGTAGTTGTCAGAGAAGAAGGGGGGTTTACCTGGGAAACAAAAACAATATAAACCAGTACTGTATAACATACTACAGGCCAGAATTAGTATTTTCATTAGTTTGAGTCTGTTTGCATATCAGTACCGGTGTACATGTAGTATAATATACAACCAAGAGACCAGAGATCAGACTTCATATTAGTTTCTGATCCTTCCAAAACCTCTGGAGCACTGTAAGCTGTAGAACCTGAAAATATACATACATAAATGCACACAGAGTAGTTTAAAAAACAGATACTATAAAGTATACAATATGGTATAGTCTTAACATATTATAATATTTTTTAAAAGTTTTTATGCTGCTATTTTTTTTAATCTCACCAAGATTTCAAAACAATATTCCCTACACAAGACTTGTTTTTGTCATTGCCTTAAGTGAAATACCTCTCCTAAGGTTGCACACCCAGAGCACTGGATGCAACATTAAGTCCTTGCTTACATTTCCATCTGATCAACAGCAGCTACTAACAGCTGTATATCTTTAGAGCCTCTCTTATCTCTAATCAGCTGGTTTTATACAGTCAACAAATGACAGCATACAGAAACAGCATGATTACTAACCTTGTAATCTTTTCTTTAAGTTGTCAGTGTTCTGATTGCTGTCTCCTTCCTCTATCTCCTCAGATGCAGAGAACAAGGTAAGGAAATCCTGCAGCGTGTCTCCCTCTGCCTTAGACAGACAGAAGTTACCAAACTTCAGAATGCCGCTGCCATCAAGTAGGATCTATGAGCAACAGAAAGAGAAATATTACAGCATTCATATATGATGGTAGCATTGCTGTTATACACTTACATAGAGATGAATGCAGGTGCAAACCTTAGCAGGAGTCAGGTCAGAGAAAATGATTCCTAACTCATGGATGTGTTTCAGTCCTTTGACTAAGTGCCATCCAAACCTTCGTACCGCATCTTGTGACAGGCTTCCATCATGGGCAATTACAGACTCCATGGAACCCCCTGAAATTTACAGCACGTTTGTATGCAAGTTTGGCACATGAGGTAAAAACAGAGAGAACAAAGAATGACACACCTTGCACTGCTTAAAAAAAGATGTGGTTACAGACTATACCAACACTGAATATATATGAGTAATGGGGAAAAATGCATTCTGAAAGGACATTTATTATTAAAAACTTAAAATATTAAAGTAATTTAAGCCTTAAGCTGCTTGAAGTTGTGGTTCTCATCAAATATATTCTTTGATATTCGGGTACTGTTTATAACAACTGCCAGGAATAATGACTGACCTGTACAAAGCTCCACCACCAACCACAGGTGGTTACTTGTCTCATACCACTCGTAGAAGTTGGCTATATTTGGATGATCCAGATCCTGGGTGAGGCGTACCTAATACAAGAGTGAATCATCAGAACACTTTTATAAAGCAGGCTTTTTACGGCAAACCTCAATGGCAAATTCCACCTAAAAATATCATGCACTAATCATTCACATGATCTTATTCAATATGAAAAGCACACTGTATATATGCTAGTGTACTGGGAGCAGTGGCCTCAGAAAGGGAGATCATCCCTGCTTAGATTGCTGGCCCTAACAGGCGGAAAATAGATTGACAGTTAGATATATCAATACTAATCACAGCCTTCTTTGGACTGTTAAAAACAACTCTGTTATTGGTATATAGAACTAATACAACTAGCAAATGTACTACTAAGTTCAAACATTGTCCTACATGGTTAGTAATCTCGGATTTCTTGGTTTTGTCAGTGCATTTGATGGCAACATAGTTGAGATTGCCCTTCCTTCTTCCTTTATAGACAACTGAGTTGTGGCCTGCCCCAAGCTCCTCGTACAGAATGAAGTTTTCCATTTGCTGTGGAGAAGAAAAAAAAGGCCTAATTTATAATTATTCACTTCAAACTTTTTTTTTCCCATCAGTGAAAAACAGAAGCCTTACAGTAATTCAAACTATACCATGCAAGTTGTACAGTACGTATGGAATATTATCTGCTCTTGCACATTTGACGCGTTTTGATAAATGGGACCTCTGGAAATTCTGTCATAAACAACATCCAAATACATATATATATATAATTAAAGGTGGGGTACTATATTTGTTGGAGAGCCACACCTGTAAAACAATCCGCCTGATTACCTTTAATTAGCGGAACACCTGTTTTACTACAGCAGCTTCATTAGAGTCAGCCACTTTTATTACGAACTCTTAACATTCACCCAGAAAGACAAGACAACAAATTGTGTATTTTATGCTTAAAATAAATAATTAACCTTTATGTGTGGAAAAAAACATATATGTTATGCAACATTAACGCAAACTTTGAAATAACGGTTGACCTCGGGGGCTTCATGGTCTGTCGTACGTTCAGGAGCTCAGGTAGTTTGCATTCTTTGAACAAAAAAAGTTAACAGTTGAAGTGAAAGTAATCATAAGAGACCTGCACACGCCTGTACACAGGCTCAGAAAAACATTTGCGATTAATGCTGAGCTTGTTATTTTTTTTACACTTCACATTAAAGTAGCCTGAAACCTACCTCTTCAACGACCCGCTGTTTGTGAGCGGAAGAGTGATGGGTCGCATTGTTCCAAATGGAAGAGTGGGGGGTAGTGAAAATGTTGGCATGAAATAAAGGCTGTATCTTCTCGTCATAGTCATTATATGTGCATACAGATGAGTAATTATATTTAATAAAATGTTTCGGTTTAAATAAGATATAAGCAAACTGTGATTTTGTGGAAAACGCTGTATTAGTTTTAACCTGATCCACCTCCAAATGGTATATTCCCACGTTGCTAGGATACTAGAGTGAACACAACAGACAGCGGGCGCTTGGAATCCAAATTAAAGTGACTGTAATGGCGTTTTATAATAAACTATAACAGAGAAATTTATAAAACTCAGTTTTAAATTTGTGTTATAAAAATAATTTTCAGAGTACTTCTGAATATTCCGTAGGTAGGCTCTAACTCCGGTCATACTCCGGTCTTCGGGGTCTAAATGCGGACATACACATAATCCATGTGAGAGAGTAGAATGACGTCATTAATTAAATGATATTTGCAGACAAAAGGCCTTACAGTGTTTGCCAGCCCACAGGGCAGCGAGGACACTGGTGAATTGAGTTAAAACTGTGTGAAATGTGGTTATGTGTGAGACGTTTTCCATTGTGGCTTCTTAAAAGGTGATTGACTTTATTGAAACTGAAATCTTTTTCTAAACCTAACCAAATTGTTTTGTTTCCTCACTCTAATCAAACTGTCTGGAAATGAGAATGAATAAATAAATTGTTTTTAAAAAATGTTTGAAGCTGGCTTACGAATAACTTAATAAGCTAGGGATAGAAGTATGTCACTCTTTTGCGGCAAATTTCTCTCCATATAAGAGCAGGGAACGGTGGAAATCTGCATAAATTTAAAACTTCCCAACTAGCTAGGTTACATAAAATGCCAGGGACGAATTCCGGAGAACATATTTCATTCAACAAAATAAAAGCCAGTGATGCTTTCAATGTATTTACTACAGTTTTTTGTTTAAGTAAAGACAACAGTCATTACATTTCTTAACCCGGCTGTGTAACCCGGCTGTGTCAACTGAGGAAGTTCAGGGTCTCTCCAAAGATCCTCAGGATTTTCTATACAGGCGCTGTGGAGAGCATCCTCACACATCGTGGTTTGGGAACAGCTGTGTTAAGGACCAAAAAGCTCTCCAGAGAGTGATCCGTACAGCAGAACGCTGCTGCAGGATTGCTCTCCCCCCGCTTCAGGACACCTACACCAGGAGATGCCGGACTAGAGCAGCGCAGATACTGAAGGACCCGTCCCATCCTGGCAACAAACTGTTCCAACTTCTGCA